GTTGTAACATGTGTGGGACGAGTTTGTTGCTTGGGAAAAATACCGTTCTTGCGGTTGCGTTCGTGCGCCCGAAACTCTCGCCGTGTCCACCGTGTTCTTCTTCTTCCTTCCCCTTCTTCTCGGTTCATGCCAGAGTGGGAGAGTGAGGTGCACAGATAGAGAGAGTGGTGAGCTAGGGCAAGGCTAGGGTTCCAACAATTGGCATCAGAGCCCGGTTCCGGAGGTGAACGCCGGCGGCCATGGCACTCGTACCACACGATGGTGGTGGTGGCTCGTTCTCGCTGCTGGTCTCACCGCTGACCACAACGAACTACACCTCCTGGGCGATCAAGGTGGAAGCTTTTCTTGGTGCCTAGGGGCTGTGGGGGTGGTCGTTCCGGCGGAGGGCACGACGATCGATGCCGACAAGAGCAAGACGGCGCGGGCGATGCTTCTCGGGGTGCTGTCGGCGGAAGTGCTGCTGCCGGTGTCGACGAAGCCCACCGCGAAGGAAGTATGGGACTCCCTCAAGGTGCGCTTCGTCGTCGCTGATCGGGTGCGGGCGGCCCGGCTCGCGTCGCTCCGCAGTGAGTTCGAGCGGCTGCGGATGACGGACGACGACAACTTGGATAGCCTACACGGGAAGCTTGGCACCATGACGACGCACTATGCAGGTCTGGGGGCGGTGCTCGACTACGCTGCGCTCGTGAAGAAGATGTTGGACACGGTCCGGACCGCCTCTACCCCGCCTTCGCCGGAATTGAACAATTTTGCAATGTAGAAGAGATGGCGTACGAGGAGGCTTTGGGGCGGCTCAAAGCATTCGACGAACGGACCCGGCGTCACGGGTAGGCGCGACAGTGGGCAGCTCGGCAGCGTCGGCATGGCGGAGGCGGCCTCGACCACGACGACGACGGCGCGGGCAGTACGACACATTGGGCGGCGGAGGCAAGCGGTGCGGACGCTGCTACAGCTGCAGCGAGCGCGGCCATTTCAAGCGCGAGTGCCCCAAGCTGCGAAAGGTGCCGGCGGCGGAGCACGCGCTCCTGGTGGAGATCGGTGACGACCTCGAGCCTGGAATCCTCTGAGTTGCAGCTTAGGGGGTGAGTGTTGGCCAAATAAGCCGCGGCCACGGGTTAGACACGTCGGGCGCATGTGTCGGTGCGCGTTGGGCGCGTCGGGTCTGCGACGTAGGTGTTTGTTTGTGTGCGCGTGCGTGTGGTGCACGGGGGTGCCCGTGTGGGTGGACACCGTACGTGTGTGTGCGTAGGCCATGTTGTTGGCGATCTGGGCGGGGTGATCGTGCAGGTCTATTGCGGGCTCATCGTGGCGAGCGCGAGCGGGAGCGCGTCGTGGGCACGCGGAGCAGGCTGGACCAGGCGGAGTAGTGGGTAGACGTGCGGGTCGTGGCCCAGTGTTGGCCCGGGTATAAGATCGACATGGTGATCGTTGTAACATGTGTGCGCGAGTTTGTTGCTTGGGAAAAATATCGTTCGTGCAGTGGCGTTCGTGCGCCAGAAACTCTCGACGTGTCCATCGTGTTCTTCTTCTTCCCCCTCATTCTTCTAGGTTATTGCCAGAGCGGGAGAGTGAGGTGCAGAGAGAGAGAGAGAGAGGTGAGCTAGGCAAGGCTAGGGTTCCAACAGGGACTAACTAAATTTCTACTTCTTAACTGGCAACAATTTAAGGACGTATAGTTAGCTTCAGATTCAGATTATAAACAAAATAATGTTGAAAGAAACATCAAATCACCATAATTTTGGAAGACAACCTTTTACACGGAAATATCACATATATTTGTTGAAATGAATGATCATTAAACTCCATAAGATTTCTGTCCTAAGAATATCTAAGACATGAATCTAAAGAGAAACAGTAACTGAAGAACAACAAGCACCTGAACATCCTCGATGGTGAGACTTCAGTTGAGGTTGGGATGTGCAGCCGGGAACTTCCAGAAGTCAAACATCCAAAACTGATCCGTAGAAGGACATGCATAAGCAAATAAGAGTAATCTAAAAATATAAGGCAAACATAAATCCCCAAGCCATCTGCACATGATCCCGCCCACAGTTCTTCCACTGTCCCTAATCTAATTCCCAACTCCAATAATCAGAGGAATATAAATAATGCCATGAACAAAGATTGATTTAATGAAAATGAAGCACGAGCGCAAACATTGATCTATTATCAAAAAATGATATGTACTCCCTCTGTAAAGAAATATAAGAGCGTTTAGATCATTGTGATCTAAACGCTCTTATATTTCTTTACAGAGGGAATTACGAATGGGTTAGGTTCACCCATAGGATAGTCAACCATCAACTACCAACTATGTCACCAAAGTTGTGTGTGCATCAACCATCAACTATGAAAATGCATGATTGATCCTAAATTCCACGCCGCATGAGCTCTGACCTGCTTGTGTAGTTGGTTCATACATGCCTCTATATGATTTTTCCATGCATTATCACATAACTTATGTCACTTTGACACTCCCAAAAAAGAAGAAATATTCAAAAAATGAAGAGGTGGGCACCTGTTCGTGTGCGTCGTGCCATTAGAGGCAACAATTCTTCTTCTCTTCCTCCATTAGTGGCAATATATATAGTAGGTGGCTCAGATCCGATCGACGTGCTTCTGTTTGTTCCCTCCTTTTCGAAAACCACACATGACCGGCACTAACAAACTGATGCATGCAGCAAACAACTCCATGACTGACTCGACTACTTGCCCATGCAGCACGTTGGCCAGGTCCTACAAGCATCGCCGTCTCACACGGCTTCGCGTCTCACGCAGCACCATGGCATCTCACCGTCATCTAAGTCGCATCACACGACCATCTATGGCATCTCACCTTGCACTCTTGCAGAACCAAAACTACGCACATACTGTCGCACGACAAGCTACTCTGTCACCTAAACTACATGCAGTACAAGACCAAAACATGCACATACATGAATCAAGATTAAGTCTAACAGAAGGTGTGTGCGCGCATATTCTAGGCGTTGGACCAAAAAAACTGGACAACCAAAAAGAATAATGGAGATGGAACGTGCAGGAGAGAAAGGCTGAGGAAGGTTTGACCTGCCGCCGCCGGAACCGACAGGCGGCATGTAATTCGCCGCCATAAGGCCTTGATCTGCAGCCCCAAGGCTTCAAATCACTGCCTCACTGAAGCCCGAAGATCGGCGACATGGAGCGCGCCATGGCGGATGCCTTGAGAGAAGATAGGATGAAGCGAGGGGCGAGGATATTGATGAGTGGCGAGTGGCGGTGGGTTGAGGAGTAGATTTGGTAAGTGTGATTGATTGTTTTGGTAAGTGTGGGAAGGCCACAACGTACGATTATGGAGGAGTTGAATGATGAATCACCATTCACCAATTTCCTTTTAATAATAGAAGATTTGGTTGTTAGGAAAGGTAAGGATCGATGCATTAGGAAAGTTAAGATTTAGCATTGATTGTCATGAAACTGGATTTCATTGTTTGGTAAGTGCTATCGGTTCCTATCCATTTAAAAAGTTGCTAGTAAGGAAAGTTTTTATTAGACGATGAAAAAACCAATGTGAAGGGGTGGCGGTGGGATGTGAGACGAAAAAAAAAACGGACGAAAAAACCCAGCGAAAATAAACCATGGAGACTATTCACCAACTGCTCCATTAGGAATAAAGATGATTTTTTTCTGTCGCAACACAGGGCCCTTTTGCTACTAATGAGGACTAGACCTGGCCATGGGCAGCCCGGCCCCGTCGGCCAGACCTTGTCCATGGGCCGGGCTCGGGCCTAGATTTCAAGGCCGACAGCCGGGACGGGCCTAACATATTCACACATTAATGAAGAGGCCCAGCCCGTGGCCCGAGGCCTGGCAGGCTTTTAGTGTTATGGGCTGGGCTCGAGCCCGATTTTTAGGCCCAATGGCCAGGCCGGGCCAGGCTCGGGCCTCGGTTTTTTGCATCGGGCTTTGGTAGGCCCGGCCCGGCCCGACAGATGGCCAGGTATGGTGAGGACCAATGTCCCCAAACATCTACACTCCAATTTGCTCCTCTTCTCGCGTTGGGTAATCCAAAGCAGGAAGGAAAGGCTCCAAGCAGTCGGAGCTTCGGAGGCGTCGGTGCCCGAGATCAGTGGATACCAACAGGAAGTCTTCCCTTCTCCCCCAGCCCTTGCCCGGAGCGCGGCCGACCAGATCGGCGGCAGGGGGCGGCCACCGAGGGCACCGGAGGTGATTACTGATTACTGGAGTAATTGCCTAGCACAATTTCTGATTTCTAGTTCCGTCTATTTCTGTTTCTTCATCTTAATCTTAATCTTGGTGTTCATCTTGACATGGAGTAGAGCGTCAAACTTGCATTTTGTTTATCTGCATGCAAATGCTACAGAACCAATTAGTATGTCAGCGAAGTTAATCATTAAACGAGGTCCAGTCGAAAACGGAAATTTCATCAAATCTCTTCTTGTGATCAAACGCTGTAGCCGTGTAGTAGGTTCTAATTGATTCAGGCACACATATGCTGCATCAACAGGAGAGGCAGCGTCAGTCATATCACATCACACCGCAGGAAACGAACCCAATGAATGTTTGGCATCTAACTCCCAAGTTTTACTTTTGGTTTGGTGTCGTGCAAAGAGTATCTCATTCTCCATGCATGCTAGCCTGTTGTTACAGAAATTAACAATGGGTTTATTTGTCTCTGTTGCGATGAGTTCAGGATTGGGGAGAAAAAAATAGCAGGAAGAGGCCACAAACATCAGCTGCTGTTTGCTCGGTAACTGACAATAGTAATCTTTGTGCTGTGCGCCTGTGCCTCCTTCGTTCCACACGCGTCATTTCATTTCAGACCCCAACTCAAGAAGAAACAGAAATAGTGGAAGAAATGATAAAAGGAGAGGAAGAAGCAGAGAAATGGAGTGCAACTTCTGTGCTATGCCTCCTTGGTTGATCTGATCGCTTCATCTCCAAGTCCCTGAGCACTGAGCAGTGACACGGCTTCTTGAGTGGAGGCTAACAGAGGAAAGGCCATGGAAGCCGCGGTGGTGAGCGTGTCACACGGAGCCATAGGCTCCCTTCTTGGGAAGCTCGGCGATTTGCTCGCCGGCGAATACAAGCTGCTCAAAGAAGCAAAGGGCGAGATCATGTTCCTTAAAGCCGAGCTCGAGAGCATGCGTGTGTTCCTAGAGAGGACGTCGGACGCGGAGGAGGAGGAGGCTGACAAACAAGAAAAGTGCTGGGCTGAGGAGGTTCGTGACCTGTCTTACGACATCGAGGACAATGCCGACGACTTCATGCTCCGGGTGGAATGCGAGTCAAATAGCAAGCCACATGGCTTCAAGGGGTTCATTGAAAGGAGCAGGTTCATTGAAAGGAGCATGAACTTGCTGACGACAATCAACACTCGGCATAAGATCGGCAAGGAGTTGCAAGGTCTGAAGAGACGTATCATGGAGGTGAGCGAGAGGCGCATGAGATACAAGCTTGACAGCACTGCCTCAAAGCCAAACAGCACGGCCATAGATATACGCCTGTTGGCGCTCTATCTGGACGCAGCCTCGTCGGTATCAATGAACCGAGGGACGAACTGATTAAGGTGATGCTGGACCAAGATGGTGTTTGTGCACAGCAGCTGAAGGTGCTCTCTGTTGTGGGATTTGGAGGCACTACCGGAAACTGGCCCTACCCCGACGGCCAAATCAATGCCGATGGCTGCCGTCGGCCTACTTTGCGCTATGCCGACAGCCACGTCTTGGCCGTCGGCGTATCTTGGCCGTCGGGCTACCACGAGCTAAGCCGACGGCACCCGTCGGCATACATATGTCGTCGGCCCAGCTGTGAACATGGCGACAGCAACCGTCGGCATACCCAGGCCGTCGGCATACCCGTGGGCCCGGCGACCCCGCCTGTGACCAGCGGCTAACATCGTCAAATCTATGCCGACGGCCTGGACGGGCAGCCGTCGGCATATATCGTCATGCCACGTCACCGATCCGCGGCGCACCGTCCACGAGCTAAGCCGACGGCTGCCGTCGGCATACCAGCCATGTCAGCGATCCGCGGCACGCTGCCCGCCGCCTAAAACCTGGCCGTCTCTATATGTATTATTATATAAACTAACATGTAGATTTTTTTTATATGTATTATTATATAAACTAACATGTAGCATGTTAAATATAAACATACATATGAATATATATGTAGCTTGTATTTTTTTCATA